AATTGTTGATCTCAGTGTCTGTGCTACTGGTGTTATGTTCAGGAAGCGGTCTCCTGTGTTTCCCCACTTTATCTTCTAGTAGGTTCAGTGTGGCTGCGTTTATGTTGAGGTCTTTGATCCATTTTGACTTAAGTTTTGTGCAGGGCGAAAGGCTTGGGTCTATCTGTAGTCTTCTACATGTTTGCATCCAGTTATGCCTGCACCATTTGTTGAAGATGTTCTCTTTGTTCCAGTGTATATATCTGGATTGTTTGTCAAAAATCAGGTGTTCGTAGGTGTGTGGGTTAATTTCAGGGTTTTCAACTCTATTCCATTGGTCTACCTATCTATTTTTGTGCCAATACCAAGCTGTTTTCAGGACTATAGCTCTGTAATAGAGCTTAAAGTTAGGGATGGTGATGCCTCCAGAAGTTCCTCTATTGTACAGGGTTGTTTTGGCTATCCTTTTGTTTTGTCTTTTGTTTCTCCATATAAAGTTGAGAATTGTTCTTTCAAGGTCAGTGAAGAAATGTGTTGGGATTTTGATGGGGGTTTCATTAAAGTAGATTGCTTTTGGCAAGATTGTCATTTTTACTATGTTGATCCTACCTATCCACGAGCATGGGAGATCTTTCCATTTTCTGGTATCTTCTTTAATTTCTTTCTTTAGAGACTCAAAATTCTTGTGGTACAGGTCTTTCACTTTTTTTTTGTTAGTGTTACTCCAAGGTTTTTTTTTGTTTGTGGCAATTGTAAAGGGTGATGCTTCTCTGATTTCTTTCTCCACCAATGTGCCATCCGTATATAGTAGGGCTACAGATTTTTTTGAGTTAATCTTGTATCCTGCCACTTTGCTGAAGGTGTTTATCAGCTGTAGGAGTTCCCTGGTAGAGTTTTTCGGGTCACTTATGTAGACTATCATATCATCTGCAAATAGTGAGAGTTTGACTTCTTCCTTAACAATTTGTATTCCCTTGATCTCCTTTTGTTGTCTTATTGCTCTAGCTAGAACTTCAAGGACAATATTAAAGAGGTATGGAGCGAGTGGACAGCCTTGTCTTGTACCTGATTTTAGAGGAGTTGCATTGAGTTTCTCTCCATTTAATTTGATGTTGGCTGTTGGCTTGCTGTATATTGCTTTTATTATGTTGAGATATGTTCCTGTTATCCCTGATTTCTCCAGGACCTTTATCATGAAGGGATGTTGGATTTTGAGACATGAATTCTTGATGACCCATCATTTCTGTTCATTTGTTCCTTCCTTCCTTTTCCCTGTTGTTGTCTTGGCTGGGCAAGGAGGGGCTATCTGCTCGCTCTGTTGCTCTAAGCATATCTGTCACTCACTCGGGTGATGTTTTTGGCGACATGCCTGCTGTTTACAGTGTCCAGGATTGAACTCCGGGTTCCCCAGGGGCCATGACTTTCCCTTGTGAATCTGAGCCCCAGCCAAAGACTCCCACAGAGATTTTCCCTTGTTAGTCAGAAAAAAAATTTTGGAGTAATCGAAACTGAAACTGGTGCTTCTCTGCCTCTGCTCTCCTGGCTCAGGCCCAGCATCCAGAGATGCTCTGGCCTCTCCAGTGGCTTCAGCAGCACAGATTTCTCCTGCACCGCCCTGGGAGTCATCCCAACTGCAGGATCTGTGTTCAGACTCCTGGCCAGGACAATACTGAAGTCTTCAGACAGTCAAGGCACTTTGCAGCCTCTCAGGTAATTAAGAAAGTTCCAGTGCAGGCTCCATGGGGTCAGTGAGTACTGAAGGGATTAGCAAAGGCTTGTGACAAGGATAAGGCTGTGACCTGAGTAACCTGGGCCACGCCCCTCTGCTGGAATGTACTGGGTAAGTGCCCAGGGCCCTGTGGCAGAAGGGCCAGTGCTGTGCCAGTCTCTGCTTTTGTTGGATTTTCCGCTGTCATGAATGCTGCTGGGGGCTGAGCAGGGTGCTTGCAGGCCAGTGTTCACTGTGTTATCCCACAAAGAGCATCTCAGAGTCTGGTCCTCCTATCTAGAAGCTTGTCAGTCCTAATGCTTGGGCTGCAGACCACAAACTTGGGTATCCAGACCCTGACTCCCGCTCATGGGGACAGGCCCTAGGAGCAGGAGCTGAGACCAGGCCAAAGAGGTCAGGTATGGGGAGTGAGGAGCCTCCAACAGGGAGGAGCAAAGGGCTGGAGAGAGAGAATCTGGGCAAGTGGGGTCTGAAGAACCCAAGAGGGACCTGGGTAGGGGTGGGCATAGCTGCTGCCAGAGAAAGGTCCTAGGGTTCAGGATCTCTTACAGGAGTCTTTGTCAGACCAGGGCTGGGGCAGTTCCTGAGGCCGGTCATGTCTAAAGTAAGGGTACTCAGAGGGTCATTCCTAAATGAACAAAGGCAGGGTTATGAGCAGGGTGGTTAAGGCTCAATGCTTACATTCTCCTTAGGGCTTGTGCAGCTTCCTCAGATTTCTGTACATGTACATGTTTGTATACGGGTGTGTGTGTGTGTGTGTGTATATATATATATATATATATATATGGATGTGTATATATGTACACACATATGTACAGGTATGCATGCACATGCATGTGGAGACCAGAGGTTTACCTCAGATGCCATACTCAATCACATCTCCAACTCATGTTTGGAAGCAGGGCATTTCACTGAATATGGAGCTCACTGACTGAATACACTGGCCATTTTGCAAGTTTCTTGCCTCCCTGGTACTGGGGTGGCAGGCACACAGCCTGTGCCAGTGTTTTGTTTTGTTTTCTTTCCATGGGTTCTGGGGAGAAAGGTCAGGTCTCTATGCTTGCATGATTGTATGAACAAATCATCTCCTCAACCCCTGGATTTCTTTTTAATAGTGTCTCTGCGTCCCTAATGCTAGAATTGCAAGGATGTGCCATCTTGGTTTGTTTTGTTTTGTTTTTAAAATTTTTTTAATGTGGGTTCTGGAGATCGAAGTCATCTCTGGGGATAGGGATGGGTAGCAGGGTCAGGGGAGGATCGGGAAAGGGGGCTGACCAGTGTGGGACTTGTGCCAGCAGAGGGAGCCTGCAGAAGGAGATAAAATGCCCTGGGAGACTTAGAGATGACAAGTGCAGGCTGCCAGGCTTGGGGCACTGCAGGATCTCAGCCAGGAGGGTAAAGATCAGGTGACATGGAGGCCTCTACCCAGAAATGGGATGTTTAGAGGAAAATGAAAGCCAGAGAAGGCCACCAGAGGTGAAGGGATGTGGCAATTTGGGGGTTTTTGAAACACAGTTTTGGTATCTTGGGCTGGTCTTGATATGTATGGAAGATGACCCTCTTTGCCTCTACCTCCTGAACACTGGAATCACAGGAGTGCACCACTACACCCAGTTAATACTGGAACAGGAATCGAACATAGTGGTCTCTCTCTCTCTCTCACACACACACACACACACACACACACACACACACACACACAGAGGATTCACACAGGTACACAATATCCTATTTCTAGAACATACCATCCTTCATTTATTAACAGTGTTCTGCCTTTACTATTGTCATAAGTGTTATATATACAAGCACACATGGGCATCTCCTTGTTTCCCATTATTTAGTCAGTTTTGTCCCATTTAGGATGGTGAGGCCAGCAGGTGTTTGTGACAGAGGAAGTAATTTGAGGGCTTGGCAAGTTGACTTACCAGGTAAAGACTTGCTGCCAAGCCTGCTTCTGTGGCTTTTATCTCTGAGCCCACTTGGTCAGAGTCACCCAACTCCTGCAAGCTGTTCTCTGACCTCACCATGTCCTACGACCACACGTCCCCACCCAGTCTTCCCCAAGGAGAAGACAACTGGTCAAGAAGGAGGAATGAGAACACAGAATAGATGCTTCTGGCTGCAGCACCTGTCACTGGCGATCATGTGCCTTTACTCACAGTCTCTCCCCACCAGAAGTCAGCGGCTCTGTCTCCTTCACTACTGGAGCCCTTCAGTGCCTGACACACAGTAGACAAGTATTTCTGTGTGGGGTTGAGTTCCCAGGGCCATGTGGAAGGTCCTGTGGTTAGGTCCTAGGGAGAGAAGTAGTCATGAGTGCTCCTGGCTGATCCTGCTGCTCCTCCTGCTTTCGCTACTGCTGGAGATGGGAGGGAGAAGGGCTAGAGAGGCCAGAGGGCTGGGGGATGCTCAGACAGCAGAGTGCCTGTCACACAAGTATGAGGCTCCAACTTTGATCCCTAGAGTTAAAATGAAGCCAGGCATGGTGGCGAGCACTGAAATCCTAGCTCTCTCTGGGGTTGATAGCTAGACAGTTTGGCTGCACTGAGAAGTTCCAGTCCTAGTCAGAAACCCTGCTCCAATAAGTGAAGAGGGCAGAGCCTGAGATGATGATGAAGATGATGAGATAGAGTTAGCTGGATTCAGACAAGTGCACAATGTCCTACTTCTGGAATACTCAATCATTCCTTTGCTGGCACTATTCAGCCTTTACCTTTGTTACAAGTGGTAATTCATGCACTGATTAATTGAAGGCTCCTCACAGCTCTTCCGAGCAGGTGAACTACCTGACATGATGCTTTCAATTAGTGAGAATGTCTAGATTCGAACCCAGGATGGAGGATCTGTGACATTACCCACTGAGCCACATGCTTTTTTGTGTGTGACATTATTGCATAGTTTGTCCAGAACCCTCCTCACTGGACTTGGAGTGAGAAGGAGTCATGGTGTTCACGTTTCACGTGAAGAAACAGAGAGGTATAGTTACTTGCCCAGGATCACACAGCTACTAAGTGGCTCCTGCAGACAAACTGGGTGAAGGGATTCAATAGTGAGTGAGTCACATGTTAACAGGTGGTCCCGCTGGACGTGGGAAGTGGCATCCTGCAGTGTCCCCACAGGGGGCATACAGGCTCCAGAGACAGTTGGGGCTGAAGGAGAGAAGGAAGACAGGGTTGTGAGTAACCCTGCTCCCATGGCTGCTCCTGAGCTGAGGCCGAAGAAGACAGAACAAAATAGAAGCCGCTGCCGTGGGCTGGAAACCACAAGGAACCAGAGACTGTCATCCCACAAAGGCCTACTGTGGCAGAGGAAGTGTGCCTGGGAGGGGATTCAGGGATCCATCCCTGGTGGGGAAGAGCCTTGGACCCAGGTCAGCTCCAGCCAGACCCTTCTGGATCTCTCTCTCCTGAAAGCCACCCAGCCCTGAGGACTGAATCAAGAATCTAGAGGGGAAACAGCAGAGGGTCTTGAAGAGGGCCTCTCTGAGTTCCCAGGAATCTTGGAGGTGGCCCAGGCAGCTTGTGGGAGGTGTCAGGCAGGCTTAGACCAAGCAGGCCCAGCTGCTGCCTGTTCTCTGGAGCTGAAGACAGAGAGGGCCCTCAGGTGAGACTCATTCTTGGAGCTGCCCAGTATGGGTGAGTGGGGGCCTGCCCCTCTGTGGGGGACCAGAAACAGCACGGGGTGCCTGCATCTCAAAACTGACTGTCCATTGTATTCTTTTCCAGACAGGATATGGGAACGGGGGTCCAGGGCATTCGGGGCTCCCTCATGTGACCTTGAAGGACCTGTTCTCACATGACCTTGGCAGCTCCCTGGCTTCCACATCGTCCTCTATGCTTCCTTCTTGTCTGCCTTCTTGTCCCACCTTTCATTATGGCAGCCTTTCTCTACTCTTAAATTATCTAGCAGTGTCCCTGGGCCCCTGTGGTCATCAGATAAAAACAGACAAGCCTTGTCTCAGGGCTCCCTTGGGGGCCTCAGAGGGACAATTGTCTCCAGGCCCTACTGCCAGATCCGCCCTCAGAATTGTCTTACCTTTTCAACCCCTTTGTAGGGACTCCTGCTGTACCTGCACCACAATCTTGCAACCCAGGGTAAAGGGGGGAATTACCAATATAAGGGTATTTAATAGGGAAACGTCTTACTTACAGAGTGACCTAGCCAGCCGGCATGGCAGCAGTCCGTACAGCAGGCGGAAAAGTGAAACCCAGCCAACTGAACCTATCACTCTACGTCACCCCTAAGCGGGAGCTTCCCCTACACCAGGGAGCTCAATAGGTTCCTGGATGAGGACAGCAGGTGAGAAAAATGAAAACTATTAAGAGTCTTGTATTTACAGTCCACAGAAGAAGAGGGCTACAGTGCCAAGAGTCACACTGGGTGGGGTTGTCACAGTGTGAATGAGTCTGAAGGGAGAGAAAGGGAGCAGAATTGATAGCTTATTGGGATACCCCTTAGCTCTGGGCTTCCCTCTAGGGACAACTGGGCTAACACTGACTTGCACTGATACTTTTTTTTGTGCTCTAACAAATAAATCTTGCCTAAGATCAGAGGAAGGAGCTAGCCATTAGTTAACCATAAAGGTCTGGAGGTCTGTACAGACAGAAAGGAAGTAATATTTCTAGGCTGAGAGAGGAAGTGGAAAGGCAGGGTGGAGCATTGAGCTTCCTCTCTTTTCAGCTGAGAATTATTATTATTATTATTATTATTATTATTATTATTATTATTATTTGGTTTTCCAAGACAGGGTTTCTCTGTGTAGCTTTGGATTCTGTCCTGGAACTCTCTCTGTAGATCAGGCTGGCCTTGAACTCACAGAAATCTGCATGCCTCCGCCTCCCAAGTGCTGGGATTAATGTGTGTGCCACCAATGCCTGGCTTCAGCTGAGGATTTCTTAGAGGTAAGAACTAATGGCTGGAAGAGAGGAAATTTAAAGCCATATGTGGCTAATATAGAAATGAATTTATGGGGACATGATATATGACAGCAATGGAATACTCAGATTAGCATTCCTCCAGTCTCAGAAAGAAAACATAAATTAACATAAGTTTCTGGGAAAAAAAACATCAGAAGGTATTATAAAGAACAGTCACTGACAATTCAGGTTGCACAAGAACAGGGCACAACAGCTTTCAAAGGCACCAACAACCCTACATTTAAATTGGTTGGCAGACAATCCTGTATACGTTGAGCAATGGCTTTTAACATCAGAGAAACTGCAGGCTTTAGGACAGCTTGTACAAGATCAGCTAAATGCTCAGCATATTGAAAGATCAACCAGCCTTTGAAATTTTCCTATATTTGTTATTAAAAAGAAATCTGGAAAATGAATTGTAACAGACCTAAATGCTCTTAATAAGGTGATACAGCCAATAGGCTCTCTACAGTCGGAATTCCTTTGCCTTCTCTATTACCTTGATGGCCTCTTAAGAGTTACCGAGTTCGCTCAGAGATGAACTGTAGTCTGTGATGGTAAGACTTCTTTATTCGGGTAAACACCAGAGCAAAACGCAAGCCAGAGCGAGCTCACAGGAAGCAAGCTAGCACAGCCAGAGAGAAGGGCCAGGGTCTCCACGTGCAGCCCTTAAGAACCTTCCCTTATGTCACCCCGACTTCCCTTCACCCCACCCTCATGGGCGAGTCCCGGGTCCACCTGGCACCTGTTCCGGTTGCCTGGGGCGGGGCTAGGGTGTCTCCCTACAATGGCCTCTTATACTTATTGATGTAAAAGATTGTTTCTTTACAAGAAAAAGACAGAAAAATATGCTTTCATGGTGCCTACCTATAATAATTCTCAGCCTGTTAGGAGATATCAATGGAAGGTTCTCCCACAGGAAATGTTAAATAAACCCACCCTGTGCTAATATTTTAGATGGCATCCATACAAAATGAAATGTAATCGATTTCCTCAACCCATAGTTTACCATTACATGGAGTACATCTTATTAGCTGATTTACATGTAGATACTTTAGAAAGAATGTTTGAAGAAGAAAATTTTGCCTTGTTGGGGAGTACAAAAATACAAAGAGCAGATTCTATTGATAATTTAGGATACAATATAGGTCTATGCAAAATTAGATCCCATAGGGTGCAAATTAGGAGAGATAGATTGTGGACTCTTAAAGACTTTCAGAGATTGCTAGGAAATAATTCTGAGCTACAGCCCACTATTGGGGTAAAATAACCATGAACTGAGTAATTTGTTCCAGACCTTAAATGGTGACAAGGACTTACACAGTCAAGAGAATTATCAACTGAATCTGACAGAGAATTGGCTTTGATGGAAAAGAAATCACAGGACGCACAATGGATTGTTTAGATCCAGCACTTGATGGAATTCTAATGATTGCACTCTCTACCCATTCCCCTCCAGGAATATTAATGCAGAGGGAATATACTATCTTAAAATGGATCTTTTTACCACATAAACAGGGTAAAAAAATAAAAACTTATTTGGAAAATGTCTCTGATTTGATTCTAAAAGGAAAATTGAGACATTGTCAATTAGTAGGAATAGATCCAGCAGATATTGTAGTACCTTTTACTAATGATGGAATTGACAAATTATGGGCAGAAAGTAAACCTTGGCACAGAGTTTGAAGTAATTTGGGGTGTGGGAGAGATTAGCAACAATTATCCCAAAGGCAATAGAATTCAACTTATAAAGAGAACTAACTGGATTTCCTCACATTGTTCAGGGAACACCAATATCTGGAGCCCCTACATTCTATACTGATGCAAATAAATCAGGAAAGGCAGGTTATAAATCAGAAAATTTAAGTAAAGTGGCTCAAAGCCCTTATAGTTCTGTCCAAAAGTCAGAATTATATGCTATTCTCATGATATTAATGAATTTTATGGAAACTCTTTTAACATAATTAGTGATTTACAGTATCCAGAAAGAGTTATTTTGCATATTGAAACTGCTGAATTTATACAAGTTGATACAGAATTGACTTTATTATTTATTTGGTTATAAGAAATAATCAGGAACAGGAATCATACCATATATATAACACACATAGGCTCCCATATATGTCTTCCAGGCCATCTAGCACAAGGTAATAAAGAAATTGATCAACTATTGATTGGAAATTTTCTGGAAGCCTCAGAATTTCATTTAAAAAATCATGTCAATAGCACAGGTTTGGAAAAAGACTTTTCTATCCCTTGGCAACAAGCCAAGTACATGTCCTACTTGTTATTTATGCAACCAAACCCCACTGCCTGCAGGAAGTAACCCAAAGGGTACTCAAAAAATGAAATCTGGAAGATGGATGTGTTCCATTTCATAGAATTTGGAAAATTAAAATATGTGCATCACACCATTGATACCTATTCAGGATTTCAATGGGCAACTGCTTTGAGTTCTGAAAAGGCTGATTCTGTAATCACACATTTGTTAGAAGTTATGCCCATCATACCAGGCATTGGTGGTGTGCGCCTTTAATCCCAGCACTTGGGAGGCAGAGGTAGGCAGATCTCTGTGAGTTCCAGGCCAGCATGTTCTACAGAGCGAGTACCAGGATAGGCTCCAAAGCCACAGAGAAACCCTACCTCAAAACAAAACAAAGAAGTTATGACCATCATGAGAATACCTGTACAATTAAAACTGACAATTCTGCAGCTTATGTCTGTAAGAAAATGAAAAAGACTTTTGCTTATTACAATATAAAGCAATATTACGTATACCACACAATCCACAGGGCAAGCAGTTACAGAAAGATCAAATTGAACTCTAAATGATATGCTAAATTAACAGAAATGGGGAATAAATACCCCCCAAAATAGATTGCATAATGTTCTATTAACTTTGAATTTTCTAAATGCTAATGAGAAAGGAATGACAGCTGCAGAGAGACATTGGCTAATAGAAAAAACTGCTGAATTAAATCAGTCTGTATACTTTAAGATCTGTTGATCTCTACTCTAGCCAGGACTTGAAACAAGTCCTGCACTTTCCCACAACAAATGATACAGCTACATCTCCCAGGACTTGACAATTAACCTGAATTTTTTTTTTCAGGAGCCCTAAAAGATGCCACTGCCCCAGACAGCAGGAATTAATTTTAAGTACATGATGCCCACATTCCCAAGGGGAGGGGTGAGTGGTTTTTAGTCATTCAATGGGTTATGGATATTTGTCATTATTTAGGGTGGTTAGTTACAAGTTGTTATTGGTAATGGTCAGGAAAAAAACTGAACAAAGGAGACTAGATTCAGGGTTCTTGTTTTGAAAAGAAACAAGGGGGATACAGATATGATAGTATAAAAGGGTAGATTACTGAATCTACTCTGAAAAGAAAAGGGGGGATATAGAAATAGGATAAAATGTAGATTATTGAATCTACTTTTAAACCAAAAATACTAGTTTTAAATATTTTACATTGATAAGGATTTTTGTATATTGATAAAAATTTAAGGTTATTTTTGTTAGAACACACTGTACATACATTTCTAGTCTTGTTCAAGATGTTGTATCTATACAGTTCATTTAACAAAGTAATACAAATTTCTAGTCCTTGAAAGTTATTATTACTACCTATTTAGGATAATAATGAATCAGGTTAGTAGTTATGCACTATTACAATTGAACTTGTAGTCATATTAGGTATGTTTTCAAGATCAAACATGGATAGGTTTTAGATAGGTTATCTTCAAACACTTCAGAGATCTACAGGATATGGCATTTAAGATGTTTCAATAACATATGGGATTTTTGGTTTTTTTTGTTTGTTTTTTGTATTAAAATCAGACATGTCTGCTCCTGGAAGCATCAGTCTACTCTGGAGAAGATGATGGGCTTGAAGAAAGTTCACATTGTTGCTTTCTTTTTATGTCCCACCAGATCCCGCTGCCCTTGAGCCCCAAAAAAACACACAGACACTGTAGTAACTATCAAACTGTTGGCCGATGTCTAGGGCTTCTTTTTTTTTTCCCGAGACAGGGTTTCCCTGTGGCTTTGGAGGCTGTCCTGGAACTAACTCTTGTAAACCAGGCTGGTCTCGAACTCACAGAGATCCACCTGACTCTGCCACCCGAGTGCTGGGACTAAAGGCGTGCGGCACCAACGCCCGGCACCTAGGGCTTCTTATTGGCTAGCTCTGTCTTAATTATTAACCCATAACTACTAATCTATGTATTTCTACATGGTCTTATCTTACCAGAGAATGCCTGGCACATCCTGTCTTCCCAGGCTCTACATGGCAACCTCTGTGGTCTCTCTTCACCTACCTTTCCCAGCATTCTCCTCATCTCCTAGCCCCACCTATCTTCCTGCCTGGCCAATCAGTATTTTATTCATCAACCAATAAGAGAAATATATATACAGAAGGAAATCCCCCATCATCACACGGAGTTAACTTTCTTTGTGGTAAAATAAGCCACTGGGCAAGAAAGTGTTCTTGCCTCGACTACTGACAGTATGCTGTCCAAACTGGAAAGGCAGGGCACAAAAGAAAGTGACTGCCAAACTTTGCCAAGACAAATTTGGACAGCACAGAAAAGTTTGTCAGATATGCTAGGCCTGTAGGCTGAAGACGGATGCCCCAACATTGCAGAAGAACATTGAGTGACTTTCTGTCATGTCTCACATTTTTGGAAGTCGCTTGCTTACACTTTCTGCTTTACTCAGGTAATGTTATTTCCTTCTTGGGTCTCTTATTGAGTTTCAGACTTTATAGTTATAGTTCTCCTTGTTGTCAGATTCAGAAAAGAAATTCACTAGAGAGGTGTAAAGTGTTTAGGGTTAAGAGAAATTAAAAGATAGTTTTGGTAATGCAAGTTAGAGTAGAAAGTGAAATAGGTACAACTTTTTGGCCTCACCAAAATAACACAGATAATGAAGTATTTTCTCTGAGTTTGCCAAATGTTTATAGATGAGACATTGTTGATGTATTTATTACCTGTATATATTGTATATAGTTATTGTGCTTATTGTATACAGTTTGTTATATTAGTCATATATAGTAAGAAATTACCAATACAGAGTCAGGTAGAAATATAAGGGTGTTTAATAGGAAAAAGCTTTTTCTTCAGAGAGAACCAGCCAGCCGGTGGTAGTCTGTACAGCAAGAAGCAAAGAGAAACCGAAAAGGGACAAGCAGTCCACCTCCTCACTCTGACCACGCCCTCACAAGCCCTCAGGTACTCTTGTAGCCAGCCCCTAAGAAGGCGTGGCTACAGCTTCCCCTACAGTCATATCCTTTTTTTATTTTAGAGAAAAAGAGGGAAAAATGTTTGCCTGGAGATGAGAGTGCAGAGCTAGCCACTAGTTAACCATAGAGGCCAGGCAGGGTGGCACACACCTTTGATCCCAGTACTTGGGAGGCACACGCCTTCAATCCCAGCACTAGGAAGGTGGAGAAGGGAGTAACATGGCAGGCCTGAAAGAGGAATATAAGATGGGAGGAGAAAGAAACTCAGCCCTTCCGGCTGAGAATTCCAAAGAGGTAAAAAGTCTCTGGTGGCTGATTCCTTTACTTCTCTGATCTTTCAGCTTTTACCCCAATATCTCACTCTGGGTTTTTATTACTAAAACCAATTAGAATTTGTGCTACAAGTAATCGTTTTTAAAATAAAAAACAAACATTTATCCCTGAACTCACAAACCTTCCTTATAGGAAAAGGTTCCAGACGTGCGGTCACACACAGGCACACAAACACACAATGAGCTCAGGGCAGCGTCGGGAAGAGTGACAGTCAAACCAGAGCCATCTGAATAAGGGCTGGTCTTTGAGTGTCCCCTCCCAAAATAGCCGGCTGGGCCTCTGACAAGTTCATAGCACCTAGCTAGAGGGAGAGACTGACTTCTCACCTCCATCTTGGCCCTGAGCTCAAGGGTATTAGGAGAGTCCATTTTATTTCACTCCTGTCCCCAGTTTTAAGACAAAGACAACCTGGTCACAGGTGGAATTGAGGCAGGTTCATTCTGGGTGACACAGAGATGGCTGAGCATTTTCTCTCTATAACTGCTAAGGAGATGTGTGAGGCCGGAAGAACCTTTGTGACAGACATGATGCTGAATCCAACAGAGACCAATCTTGAGGCACTCAGACCCACTTCCATCCCTCCAGCCCACCCAGCATCCATGACACAAAGGGATCCACTAGTCCTGTGTGCTCACTGGCAGATACCAATTATAGTGGGAAATTACCAATACGGAGTCAGGTAGAAATATAAGGGTATTTAATAGGGAAAAGCCTTACTTACAGAGCAGCCTAGCCAGCTGGCCTGCTAGCAGTCTGTACAGCAAGCAGCAAAGTGAAACCGAAAGAGCAAACGCAGTCACAATACGTCACTCTGACCACGCCCTCACAAGTGTGGTCAGGCACACCTGTAGCCAGCCCCTAAGTAGGCGTGGCTACAGCTTCCCCTACAATTCCCCTTTTAGTCTAAAAGAGGATTAAAACTTAACAGTTTAAAGTATCCAAAATTAACAATCATAAAGGTAAAATATAAGAAGATACAACAATCTGCTTATGTCACATCCTAACTATCTATTTTAACTAAACCCTAAAGTCATCTGAAAGAGGTGTCCAAGCCTGAACACCTCCTTACAATCCCAACCATAAACAATAGGAAGCTATTCCTAACTAGGTATATACACTATCCTAAGTGACAACAATGGGGAAAGGGAGCGTAGCATCCTCCGAGTTACTTCCTGCTGAAATGGGACGATGATAGTCATGTGGGGTCCTGCAGGAAGAAAATGTTAGGATAGTGAAAGTCTTGAATGAATTGTATGATTCACTTGATTGAAGATCTCGCTTGAAATCCTCAACTTGAT